AGAGGCGGCCGAGGCCGTCGCCGCAGCGGAGGCTGTCTACATCTGCTCGACCTGCTGCATCGACGAGTTTGCGCACATGGCGATCACGGCCGGCAGCCCGAAGACGTGGTCCCCGTGCATGTGCGAGATGAAGATGCGCGTCACCGACAGCGGCGCGATGCCGGCGCGCAGCATCTGCATCTGCGTCTGCCCGCCGCAGTCAAAGAGCCACGTCTCGTTCTGCACGCGCAGCGCGACGGACTGCTGCGCGCGCGAGGTCGTCGCCTGCGCGCTCGCCGTGCCGAGGAACACCAGGTTGAGCTCGCCAATGTCCTGGTTGTTGATTGGCCTTTCCCGGTGCGGAAGCTTCTGCGAGGCGCGCAGCTTGTCGGCGGTCCGGCGGTCGCCTCCTCGCCGGAACGGCTGAGGCGCCGGAGGCGCGCTGCCACGCCGGCGGCCGCTGTGCGCGCAGCGGAATGCGGAGCGGAACGGCAGAGCACAGCGGGCGTGGAACGGCAGCGCACAGGCGCGAAGCATTGCCTCTCGCCGGGCCTCCGCCAGCGTGGCCGCTACGTCGTTTTTCTTCTTTTATTGATCCCCGTTTTGTCGTTGGTCCGACTATGTTTCGCCTTCCCATCATCAATTTCCGTCCGAGCGCGCCTCCTTCCTTGGCCTGGCGCTTGTAAGGTCAGCGGTCAGATCACGGCTGTTCTTTCTCTCTCTCTCTTGGCGTTTGTGCCCCGTCCGTCCGAGAGAGAGATTTTTAGCAATACCAAACAACTCTAACACTCACACGTAATTTGGGGCCTGGAGCCCTGTTCACGCGCGCGCGAGACGTGCAGACAGGGTTTGTTTTGTCCGTCCGAGAGAGATTTTTAGCAATACCAAACAAACGTTGTTGTTGTCCGTCCGTGCGTTTGAGAGAGATTTTTAGCAACACCAAACAACTCGTGCCACGTCGTGTCCTCGCGTGTTCCCCCGTTCATTTTTAGGCTAAGTATGAAAAAAATCGCGGATTTCACGAGCACGGAAGCGTGACAGTAAAGTGCACCTCAGTGCAGGGCCAACACATCAAATCGCATCGCCTCTTGATGGCCATGATGCTCGCTGTGCCGACGCTCTCCTTTGGCACACAACAGACCAAGTACCCTCTGGAGATCATCAACTGCGGCGTGAAGCAGACCTTCACCAAGCCGCCCGAACGGGCCGTGGTGAGCCAACGCACCGCACTGCCGTTCCCGACGCCCAACGCGCTCTTGCCTTGCCTGCGACCCTCACCACCGCCACCCTCGTCGCCGCCAGACGATGAACCAGGGCATGACCGAGTTCCTGCTCGCGATGGGCCTCGAGGGCTCGATGGCGGGCACCGCCTACATCGACGACGAGATCTGGCCGCGGTACGAGAAAGCGTACAAGAAGGTCAAGGTGCTCGCCGAAAAGTATGCGACCGACGCCCAGCTCATGGAGGTGGACGCCGACTTCATCCTGTTCATCTACGGAAGCACGTTCTCGGAGGAGGCCTGTCCTTCTTCAAGATCGAAATGCGGTGTCGTAGACAACAACACCCTATAGAATTCGCGGAGGCGCGGGGGGTGCCCTCGCTCTTTGTCCAGCGGCGGACGTGCTGGTAG